TGTGGGTGTGGGTGTGGGTGTGGGTGTGGGTGTGGGTGTGGGTGTGCCATTTCCTTCTTCTGATACTCACAACCATACGCACACCCACCCACACAGTCATAGTCACATTCCAAACTCACACTCATACCCATACCCTGAATGGATGTGAGTGTGGGTGTGTGTGAATGGGTGTATGGTTGATGTGGCTCTGGCTCTGACTGTAGGAGTGTGGGTGGGCATGGCTCTAAGTGGGCCTCCGCTGTTTGTGAGTGAGTGCACAAGCGACTTGCTACTTCACTCACACTCGAAACTACGCCCCATAGCCAACCAAACCCAGTCACACCTACACTCACATCCATTCACACCCGCATCTACATTTATCAATGGTTTTGTGTGACTCCTTTGTGTTTTTTACTAGAAGAAATGTTTATGTTGTGCAATATCCTATCTTTCTCCGCCAGGTTTTTTCCTATTTGTTCCCCATAGCAGGTGTCATTCGCTTATCGCTTACGTGCACATATTTGTATATATATATATGGGCCTCTTTTACCATGAGCTCGTTGTGTTTGGTTTGGTAATATTTTTTTTATTAGTATTTTCTGGTAAGTCTACATGCACAGAGTTTAGTGAGAAAACCAGGAGGAAACTGAAATTCCTTGTAAAAAATTGAATTTCATATAGACTATATTGTTTCTTAACACGAAATGCCAGATATGAGAGACCGTATAGGAGGCGCTCTTGGTGGTGCATTCTATGGTATATGGACTGGATTTTGGCATGGTCTTGCGCTAGGACTGGTTGGAATGGCGGCTGGAATGATTTCTCTGGGAACACTTGAAGCAGTATCAGAAGCAGTAATTGGCTCTTCAGAGCCAGCGCTACATGCTTTTGCTGACACGGTAGACGGCGCTGAATATGGTAGTGATGCTTATGAATGTCAAGATTTGTGGTGACTGCTTTTCTTGGGTTCAACGTTCATGTAGATGGCGTTTTACTATCATTTAAAGAGAAATTAAAGCAATAATCGAGAAAATCGGAGTCAATAGATTATTCTAGTGCTTCTAGTTACCTAGTCTGTTTTAAAGAATAGACTTGAAGGTGAGGATGTTATTAGGCATGTAGAGTGTGGGTGTGGGTGTGGGTAGGTAAGGTGTGGATGCAAACGGGAAAAGTACTTACTCACACACCCCACACCCAGACCCACACTTCACACCCACACCCACACTTCACACCCACACCCACACCCCACACTCACACCCACAGCCACACCCATCCACACCCACACCCACACTTTGTTTTGGACATGTTTTATCTTTAATAAATTTTACAATTGAATATCTCTTAATAAATTTTGTTTATTGTTTGAGAATAACATTTATTTTACATGCCATTATAGGTTTGATCAAATTGAGTGTATAGGTGTTAGAGAACAGATACCTACACTCACTTCCTCGATGATCAACATTTTGAGCGCGACATCCATAAACTTGTCTAAATATTTTATCCATTTCCAAAGCTCGAATCGAATCTAGTAGATCCTCTTCTTTTCATCCTTTGACAAGGATGCGCCGTGTCTTTTGTATTCCCACGGAGAGAGAACAAATTTGATTGATATGCATGTCTTCTCTTTGCTTTTTTTTCATGAAAAATCGATGTCTTTGCCTTGCAGAAGGGACATTTGGACAACTGCTCTCACTTGTGCAGCAAGAATTCGAGAGGAAAATGGAGAATGATGCACTTTAGTGATTGCCAGCGGTAGGTTTTTTCCAACTTCCAAGAAAAATAGCACAAAGTGAATACTTAATGAAACGACACTGGATCAGAAAATGTCGTCAAGAAAAATGGCTTTGTATATTCTAAAAGAATGTCCAATTCACATAGTTCAAAAGACAGACAAAACACTTCTGCCATGAGTTTAGTTACATCCAAATGTAGCGTGTCTAATGGACGAGATTGAATTTTATTTTCATAGGAAAGAAACGAATCAAATTTTGTATAACGATAACAATGTTTTTGATTGCCAGCGTACAACTATATAAAAGTGAATAAGTTTTAATATTAATACTTTTGTCATAAAAGATATCCATTGAAAATTGAAGAAATTTCATATTCATATACAGATGATTTTCAATTGTAAAGAATATATACGAGTTTAAAATTTTCACTAGTCTATAACTGAACATTGGCAAAAATTAAATTTTCTCTCAATAGTATATACATCGGTGGTGGATATAGCATATACGGAGAATTTGAGCAGTAGATATTGCTTCAAATGCACCTTCCGTAAATATCGCTGCTCAACATCTTTTTTTTCCTTTTCGTTCGACAAATAGCCTATATGATATGTCTCCATCGACTACTTGACTCATGTAGTTTCCAATATCCATATTATTTTAGATAACTTAATGATACTGTTGCATTGAACTATCGTATTTTTTCACATTGTAGAAAATCGAAAAGAGCAGAATGTTAATTTGAATACCAAAAATATGATAGCTAAAACACTAACGTGATACTATTTGCTCTTCTTTTTCATCCTCAAGAAATTCATTTACTCACTGCGTATTGTTTTTCTCACAATAATATTGTAGAACAATATGAAGCAGCATGATAATGGTATAATTAAACTGATGAAGAGATCGAACTGGATTGTATAATTGGCAATGAGTTGTACTTCACCAGTACTTTTTTATCATGTTTCACAAAACTGTGAATCCATAGGTTAAAGTTACTAAAAAAAAATATCAATTGTGTGGCAAAGCATCACTACAAAAGTTGATCACGACGTGGAAACATTCCTTTGCAAGTTAATTTCACATTGACATTGATTCAAAAGAAACATTCAAGGAAAAGATATAGGCTCAATTTGAGGATTTAGTAAACGAAATTATTCGTTTTTTCATCCGAATGAATACGTTTATTCGATCAATCATTGTCGAAAATGAATACATTTCGTCAAAAATAACTCTCGACAAACTATAGAAATCATCATGTCGATTAAATGACCAGGTGGAGGATTCATAGAGCTCCCGCAAAAATTCTCGTCTATCATCTCTATTGGCAATGACATTTCCCTCTGTAGCTCCTTTGAACCCACACATGATTTGAGAATTCACTCATCAGCTACATAGACAGTGCCCAATTGATCGACAACAATTTCATTCGAATCCTGAGGTATATGGATGAGAGCATATTTTGCCTTCATTCATGCTCTAATCTGCAATCAACGATCCTTCCGTTATCCATTATCGTTACTCTGTGACGAGTAACGATTACTTTCCTTCCCTAGTGTTGGCACTCGAAAGTAAACTGAAGATTTTTCATGCCAGAGGTACAACGTTCCAATGAGGAATCATTCAGATTTAACATCAATCCACTTATCTTTAATGAAGTACTTCCAAAGTTGAATCGTATGGTGGCGATATTGCTGATGATAGGCTTTTGGAGTCACCAAATCTTGCTTTCCAGAAGCAATGGCTAGTGCCAATTCTCCTTCTTGACTAATCTTTTGAATTTCGTTTCTTCGTCGGTATAACCTATTCTTTTTCGTTTCAATGTTATTTTAGTGAGTTTTTTCAACGATAAAATTTTGATTTGTCATAATTATCTGAAAAACTCTTGTCTAATACGGAAGAAATCTTTGGATTTTGAATCTCAATCAAAGAGACCATTATGTCACTATCATGACAATATTTTGTTGAACATACCTTTTGTAACAAGCTGATTAAACGATTAAATTTGGATTTATTAGTTGAATGTAATCATAAAAAAAGAGTAATATTATTCTTTTAGATTATTAATATAATATGAAAAAAAATACAAACCAGTGTTGTTATAGGTCTAGTTTCACGTCTTTAGTGTCTATTTTCCTTAAAAATCAATCTTCCATGAATTATTTCCAGTACTGTACGTGTTTTGAATATTTACAACTGCATCTTTTAACAATGATTGTAATCCTTTAAAAATACTTTGAGAATATGTCCTCCAGATTGTCAAAACTTCTATGTATTTTTATATCAAATCATCACTTCGCTTTTGAATGTCAGTTTCTAAATTACTATCAAGTTGTTTAAAAAATATCTGTGGTTTTGGTTTTAATATTCTCTCGATATTCCGTGTGTGTGTCAATTGCCATGTAACTGAATTATCATAATCAGTCAGAAAATTGTCGATTAACTTGAGGTCTTCATCACCAAGAAAAGTCAAAGGTCCGGGGTTTTCCTTGGAATTTGTTAGTTTTTCTATAAAGTAAAAAGTAATCACGAAATATTTTTTAATTCTCTAAAAGTAAATATTATTATAAAATCAACATGTCTGTGAGACGAGAAGAAGAGTCCTAGAGCGAAAACTTTGTCAATATCAAGATGATAAGAAAAGAAGAATCTTCATACCCTTGCTCCAACAAATACAATCTGATGATTATCCATTTCAAAATAGAAAGCGAGCAATTGCGAGATAAAAAACATGCGAACGCGATGAGATATTGGGAAACGGTTTTCGGAGCTCGTAGCCGAATCCTAAGCATATTGAACAGTAGCAAAAATGTTTTTCCATTGGGTTTCTAGAGGGTCTTTGAAGGATCTTTTGAAAAGCAAAACGATTTAATTTATTCCTAGAAAGCGTTGCACGTGAGCCATGAACAATGTTGCTCAATCGATGTCATCGATTTGGCTAATATTTTTACAGTAGATAGATACATCTGAACTAGAAACAATCTAAAAGTTTCAGCTCAAACGGATGATCATTCTGGAGATACAGACCACACAAGTATGAGGAGGTGCGGCTCATTTGGAGTACTTTGTAGTGCAGCACTTGCCAGTCAATTTTCATTTTCTAAACAATGACAAGAGTTATGACAGAGAGGGTGTGGGTGTGGGTGTGTGAGTGTGGATGGATGTGGATCTTCACCCTATCATCATGACAACTACAGATATACCCCACAACCAAATTGCTAATAATAGCTGTGGGACAGTAGTGCTTAGTCCCGAAGCAGAAGCGTATAGCTCACTCATACACAATAGAAATCCTGACCACAAGGCAGAGGGTATAGTAGGATCTATGAAAATCCTCTATACTCCTTTACATGCTAAAACGCAGTTTTGAGAGTGTCAGTAGGTAGAATATCTATGATAGTATATACTTACAAAGTTTAATAACTGAAAACAGTATTGTTGAAAAATGGCCAAACATACAATGCACTGGTAATGCACTGATCATCCCCATTTTTACCTGAGGGTGCCTCTGTTGTCCTTTGAATATCTCAGCAAGAGAATGGCTTTAGCAGCTGAAATTTTACGCATTTTTACAACGCACTTGAGGCTACATACAGGCAAAGTCTCGTTGAAATCGGTGATATCAATTGAGCAGGATTGGCCGTCCCTATCATTCAATGGCAGCTAAGGAGCTGCAAATCGACGTTTTCATAGACTCTGTTACAGTAGATTACTATAACATACACCTCGATCCTTTCTATTCTCTTTTCTTTCTTTAACTTTTTCTTTGTTCGTCTGATATATTCTGTGTTATCATTTCGCTTTGATTTCTTCTTTTCTTTGACCTTCATTGACACTTGTTTTCCTTTGTTTTTCATGTTCGAATATATATGCACTTGTTTTTATAAAATAAATGAGAGAACAAATCATGCACATTTCGAACACGTAATATTCGTCGCTCTTTACGAGGACGAACGCTAACACACTCCAACTCAAGTCTGTAAGAGGCCACAAATCTTTACTAGAGTGACTTTGAATCTTCTCCATTCAAACTCGAAATTGAATGAAAACTGGATCTTAAGTTAAATTTGGGACATGGTTCCAGATCCGACAAAAACTAAAAGTTTGGCTCTGAATCAAGAAGGACATGCAACTCTCTACCAGTTATCAGTTTGATTTTGTATTTATGAATAGATATCTGTCGTCAATACATATGAGCGTCATCGTATAACTAAGAAAATAAATTTATTCAATTAAATTTTTTCTCTAATTAATTTCAATTTATTGATGGAAAACAAAAATTTAAAATATTCCAGCAGAATAACTTGCAGTAGCAATTCCACACATGTTCTTATTTCGTCTAACTTTGACATAACCATTCTCACCCCAATCTTCTCCCCATGAATTTTTAACTTTCCAATAATCAGTACCATTTTCAGTACCATAACCAACAACAACAGGTGCATGATTCAGATTTCTATATTCTGGACAGCCAGGTACATCAAAAATACCAGATGCATAATGATCCCATTTTTGCGATACTTCTCGTAGAATAGTATCATTACCTGTGCGTTCTCCACAATCGAAAGAAACATAAACTGGACCTCGTTCATAAACAATTTTTTTCATATATTCCTCATTTCCATTTGGTATTTGTTCATATCGAAGTTTACGTGTTGAATTAGGTGAAAGACTTACTCCACCGGACTTTTGACATTTTTGTTTTTGTGCTGCGTCAGTTGGTTGTGGATAATCTTTTTCTAAATTCAACTTATATTGATTTCCTTCAAGATAAGAAAATGATGCAAAAAAACTTCCTCCATCACAACCACCTTGACCTGAACAATCAATTATATGTTGTGGACTTAATGGACCAGATTCTTTATAAATTTCAGCATATGTTTTTTCTAAAGCTCCAACAAAACCAAAAGCATAACATGAACCACAATGATGTTGATTTTTAATGGGCGTGACCGCACCTGGAACGCGTGTTTGATTAGTCCAATCATATTCTGGTGGAACTGTGTCACCACGTGATTCTATTGGCTGATCATGATTAAGTGATTCAATATATAGTTTTGAACGTAATCTATCTCTTTCTTCATCAGTCCAATCACTAAATTTATTTACTTTTAATTTAAATGTTGTTGAAGGATCTGCATTATGTCGAATAACATATTTTAAATTTGATTTAAATATTTCTACACGTTGGGATTTTTTAAAATCGATCATTCTACTTGAATCTTCACGAGGATATGCTTGTTGAAAATATCCATAAATATGATGAACTAATGCCGGATTATTTTCAATGGCTTCTTCTTTATTGTTTACATTTGATAGCATTGTATCGATAACTTCTTGAACAGATAAAGATGAGCTAACATAGCCAATTGAGCAGATGACCAGGATAATGATTGAGTATTTCATTGTAATGTTGGTTTTTTTTCCTCAACAAAGAGCATTTATTTTTCGAGTGATTTTATATTTTATAGGCTTCAATAAATATATATTTTCCAGATGTTTTTGTTCTCATTCTATGATTTTATTATTAATATTGACTCTTTCTTATCTAATTCATTCCATTAAGATAAATATTTGTATATGATTTTAAAATGACGATGATTTTTATTGATTTTATTCGAGAAAGAATCAATAACAATAATACACTGTAAACGTTCCCACAAGAAAAAGAAAAAAAAAGATTATATGATTTTTTTTCTAAGGTGCTATCGAATGATGCAGATATGTGCACCGCTCACACGGAGATGGAGCGAAGGCTACTGTGTCGTCGAAAACATTTAGAGCACGGTGACTGAGAGGCCACTCCACCTCCGCTTGAGGGGTGTGAGTGTGGGTGAGTGTGAGTGGGTGGGTGTGGGTGTGGGTGTGGGTGTGGGTGTGGGTGTGAGTGTGTGGGTGAGTGTGGGTGGGTCGGTGTGGATGTGAGGTGTGGGTATGGGTGTGAGTGGGTGGGTGTGAGTGTGTGGATGTGGGTGGATGCAGGTGTGTGGTGTGGATGTGGGTGTGGGTGTTGTTTTAGTCTTCTTTCACACACCCACACCCACGCACCCACACCCACACCCCACACCCACACCCACACCCACAGTGTGGGTGGCACTTTAACTTTAAACTTTACAAATTAATGTGGTTAAAGTTAAAGTAAAACACTTTAACTTTAAAAGTTAAAGTTAAAGTGACCCTACTTTAAACTTTAACTTTAAACTTTTTAAAGTTAAAGTGCGGAGGTAGGAAGTTACACGGTAATACCGGTAACTGGTATCCTTGGATCACCAAGTCCTACTATAGGGCGGGTACCCTTAGGTCCTCAAGTCCTACTGTAGGAGGATACCCTTGGGTCCTCAAGTCCTATTATAGGCGATTACCTTTGGGTCCTCAAGTCCTACTGTAGGAGGGTACCCTTGGGTCCTCAGGTCCTATTATAGGGAGGTACCCGTGGGCCTTCAAGTCCTATTGTAGAAGAGTACCCTTGGGTCCTCAAGTCCTATTATAGGGAGGTATCCTTGAGCCCTCAAGTCCTACTGTAGGAGGGTACCCTTGAGTCCTCAAGTCCTATTATGGGCGAGTACCCTTGGGTCCTCAAGTCCTACTGTAGGAGGATACCCTTGGGTTCTCAAGTCCTATTATAGGGGAGTACTCTTGGGTCCTCAAGTCCTATTATAGGGAGGTACTGTTGAGTTCTCAAATCCTACTATTGAAGGATACCCTTAGGTTCTCCAGTCCTATTATAGGAAGGTACCCTTGGGTCCTCAAGTCCTATTACAGGGATGTACTCTTGGGTCCTTAAGTCCTGCTACACTAGTAGCTGTCCAGAAAATAAGAAGGAAAAGGTCTCCTGAAACCTGATTGGTCATAAAATGGACAAACCAGATTGCGAAATTTCATATCCCGGTAATATATAAAGAGGAGCCTCCGACATATACCCCGCATTCAATAGAGCGTCCTCAGTAACCCTAGAATCGACCAGAACATGAGTAGCAGTTGTCCTGATAATTAAAAACAAAAGGTCTGCTCAAGTCTGATTGATTGAAAAATTAACCAATGGGATTGCGAAATTCTATTTCTCTATCATATAAAAGGCCGAGCCCCACATTTACTCCTCGTTTGATAGAGCGTCCGCTATAACCATAGGACCGGCTCGAACATGACTAGCAGTTGCCCTGATAATGAGAAAGAACAGTTCTTGTAAAATCTGATTGGTCGATAATTGGACCAATCGGATTTCAGGAGACATGTTCTTTCTTATCATGAGGACAACTACTAGTTATGTTCGGGCCGGTTCTAAGATCATGAAGGACGCTCCATCGAATAAGGGTACATGTGGAGGTCGGCCCTTTAGATGATCGAAAAATAGAATGTCGCAATCTGATTGGTTCATTTTTCAATCAATCAGACTTGAGAACCCAAGGGTACCTCGCTATAGTAGTACTTGAGGGCTCAAAGGTACCTCCGTATAATAGGACTTGAGGATCCAAGGGTACCTCCGCATAATAGGACTTGAGGACCCAAGGGTACCTCCCTACGATAAGACTTGAGGACCCAAGGATACCTCCCTCTAATAGGACTTGAGGACCCAAGGGTACCCTCCTACAGTAGGACTTGAGGACCCAAGGGTACCCTCATACAGTAGGACTTGAGGACCCAAGGATACCTCCCTATAATAGGACATGAGTATCCAAGGGTACCTCCGTATAATGCGACTTGAAGACCCTCGGGTATCTCATTATAATAGGACTTATGGACCCAAGGGTACTCCACTATAATAGGACTTGAGGACCCAAGGGTACCTTCGTATAATAGGACTTGAGTATCCAAGGGTACCTCCGTATAATAGAACTCGAGGATCCAAGGGTACCTCCGCATAATAGGACTTGAGGACCCAAGCGTATCTCCCTATAAAAGGACTTCAAGACCCAAGGGTACTCCCCTATAATAGCACTTCAGGACCCAAAGATACTCCCCTATAATAGGACTTGCGGATCCAAGGATACTCTCCTACAGTAGGACTTGAGGACCCAAGGGTACCTCCCTATAATAGGAGTTGAGGACCCAAGGATATTCCCCTATAATAGGACTTGAGGACCCAAGGGTACCTTCGTATAATAGAACTTGAGGACCCAAGGATACTCCACCATAATAGGACTTGAGGACCCAAGGGTACCTTCGTATAATAGGACTTGAGGACCCAAAGGTACCTCCGTATAATAGGACTTGAGGACCCAAGGGTAGCTCCCTATAATAGAACTTGAGGACCCAAGGATACTCCCCTATAATAGGACTTGAGGACCCAAGGATACCTCCCTATAATAGGACTTGACGACCCAAGAGTACCTCCGTATAATGGGACTTGAGGACCCAAGAGTATCTCAGTATAATAGGACTTGAGGACCCAAGAGTACTCCACTATAATAGGATTTAAGGACCCAAGGGTATCTCCCTGTGGTAGGACTTAGGAACCCAAGGGTGTCAGTTACCGGTAATGGTTGGGTAACGGTAACTTGCTACCTCTAGACTTTAACTTTAAAAAGTTTAAAGTTAAAGTTTAAAGTACGGTCACTTTAACTTTAAAAGTTAAAGTTAAAGTGGTAGTTTAACTTTAACTGTTTAAAGGTGAAAGTACCACTTTAAACTTTAACTTTAACTTTTAAAGTTAAAGTGGTACTTTAACCTTTAAAAAGTTAAAGTTAAAGTGGTACTTTAACTTTTAAAGTAAAGTTAAAGTGCCACCCCTAAACCACACCTACCCACACCAACACCCACCCCCACACGCACCACACCAACACCAACACCCACACCCACACCCACACCCTCATATGGTGTTATTATACCAATTTGTTCAGGTTTAATACCAGATTTAACTAAACGTGTTGCAGTTTTTTCAACCATATTTGCTTCAGTTCGATTAAGATATGATGTACCACTACTAGAAATTTCTTCTTGTCCTAATGAACAATGAAAAAACATTGGTTTATCAGGTTGTATCCATGGAAAATCTAAGTCTTTAATTGTACGTTCACCTGCTGTAACACCATTTTGAAGTGATCCTTAAAAACATAAAACATCAAATTTTATAAATTAATATTGAAGATTTCAATGAAATTTAAATAGACTAAAGTTTTATTTTCAATGAATTTGATTTTCGTATTAAGAATCATTTACATAGCAAGACGTTCGATAGTTTTTAGAAGTGAAAGAAACTAAAAATTTGTCTAGTATAAAATGATTGAGAAAAGTTGCCTTCTAAAATTTGGCAGACAGATTTTCGACAAGAGCTGGAAATTTTCATAGAGGTAATGTGAAAAGTGGGGAAAGGAAAGATCGTGTTATTTATGAGTTTATATCGAATATAAAATAATTCTAGAAAAACCATTTTTCATGTTACTCATTAATGCCTCAACAAGAGAATAAACGATTAATTTTTTTTTTATCCTAACAGAACTTTTCAATCTTGATCATATCTATTCAAATGAAAATTCTTTTTTTTTTTTTTTTTGAATTATAAAATAAATCAAGCCTTCATAAAAAATATTCGATGGAAATGCTGATAAAGCTGGATGCATTCGATGTTGTACTTGTAATCGTATTGGACGAATATCAAGTACAACAAGACGTTCAAATAATGATTGACTAAGTCCAGCTTTTGCTGCTTTTTTACTCATAACAACAGGTCCTAATTGACAATGATCACCAACTAAAATAAGTTGTCGTGCACCAAGTACAACTGGTACCATACATTCAGGTTCTGTTGCTTGTGTTGATTCATCAATAAGTATTGAACGAAATTGATAACCATGTGATAAACGTGGATCACCTGAACCCACACATGTACAACAAATAACATCAGCATTTCGAAGTAAATCACTTTCACATTGACGTTTTAATGTTCTATAACGTTTTTCATCAGCTGATGATAATTCACCAGTTTCATCTTTTAATTGTTGTAATTTTTTTAATTCAGGTTCACTAAAGTATAATAATAACAATAACTTAATGAATATTACAAAAGTTCTAGAATAAATATTCTTCTATTTTTCATCTACAAAAGTAGATTTCGAAAAAAAATAAAATATAGTCTATAAAGGAAAATAACTAAGTACCAATTCTAGGATAAACTTGTTACTCAGAGGCAACACATGATTGAAAACTCATTTTTTTTTGTCCGAAATGCGTTTTTGCAAATTAAAAAAAAATGGAAGAATATTTGTAATATTTGTTAATTTCAAAAATCTTACCTTTCAAGATTTCGTATTTGATTATGTAATGCTAAAAATGAAACAGGTGAATCTAATGCTTCACGACTTTTTGCACATAAACGAACAACTTTTAAACCAGTTTTATGAATTTTTTCTGTTGATTGATCAACAGCTATATTACTTGGTGCACAAACAAGTACTTGTCCTTGATTCTGTTTAACAAGATGATAAACAATAGTTGCTGATGTTACAGTTTTTCCTGTTCCAGGTGGACCTTGAATAAGACTTAATGGATGTTGAAGAACTGCTTTAACAGCATATACTTGCGAATGATTTAATTCTGGTAAACCAGGTGCTGAAAAACGTTTTGGTAATGTTACTTTCATAACTATATCTTCAACTTCATGACCTAATAAACGATGATATAAATAAGCTGATACACTATTTTCATCAACAGCAAATGTTTTTAATGCTGCTTGCATTCTAAAATTATAAAAAACAAAAAAGACGAGACTTTTTCTTTGAACATAAAAACAAAAGAATTTTTACCGATCGAATGAAGTTGATTTCCAAACAAATTCAACAACAAAATTTGTACTATATTCAATTGGTGCACCTTGACTTATTTTAAGTTCGATACCAATTTCTTCTCCATAATCTAAAATTTTTATTTTATAAATTTTTATTTGTAATTGTTCTTTTTTTTTTTAAGTCTTACTATTTGGAACTTTAACAACATGTCCAACACCTGACCATGTTAATTTTGATGAATCTCCAACATATCTTAAACGTAATTCATCACCTGGCATTAATCTCATTTCTAGACGAAAAAAAAAATAAAATAAAATAATTTACAAATATTTCAATACTTATGAATTATACCATGTGTTAACGATATGTTTGCACAAAATATGTCTGAACTATGAATTCTTTTATAGTTTATTTTGTATTCTGAGGCATTTTATATTATGATATGACAGAAAAAGAAAAGATTGAAAGTTTCCACTGGATATGTTTCTATCGAGAAATATGATAAGTTCAAATATTATTTTAGAACTCTTCTGACTATAAAGTCTCTATGCATTGTTTTTTTTAAAGTGTTTATTCGTTATTATCGATATGATTGATGAGAGAAATTCTCCAAGCGATTTTTCGTTATTGAATCAAAAATATGTGCATCATGTAGATCCAAATGAGTTTTTAATATCGTAAAGAAAATTTTGGTTTTTTAGCTCATTGCTACTGAGTTCTTATAGAGACAATCATAAACAAGAATAGTTGATTGTAAACAGTTCAGATCTTTTGATTAGCTTCTATCCTGAAATAAGAGCATCGAATTTGTAGTTATGTATACATGATGTAAAATACACACTCTGTCTTAAAATAGGAACAAAGACAATATCTAAAACTTCCACAACACAATATCTACACCAACAGTGATTTATTACTTGAAGGACTTTATTTGCAAGTATGCTTATAGAAAGACAAAAACCATCTTGAAAATCTTTAGATGATCGAAAAACAAAAATCTTGTTCTTTGATATAAGCAGATCTCTGTAAAAATTGACTTTTAGAATTTTTACCTTCATTTGCTTTTGGTAAACAAAAATAAGCTAAACGTTTTTTATTTAAACCCATATCCCATCGAACAGAAATATTTTCTTGTGTTTGAGATTCTTTTAATTTTCTATCATCATCAGCTTCCATTTTAACTAATGGACCAAATATATTTTGATATTGATATGCATCTTCATATCTTAAACTACATTGTTGTGGTTCTTCATCAATTCCTGGTCTATCAAGATCCATAATTGTTGCATCTGGATTATCTTTCCAAAGTTCTTCTAAACGATTTATCATTTGTGCTGTTATTTGTCGTGCACGTAATTGTTCTTGTTCAGATGGTATTTTAACAAGCCATGTTAAAAAACATCGATCTTGTATTAATGGTTGCCATTGACTTGGATCCCTATTGGTTATGTTTTTTTTTTTTTTTCAAAATTAAAAATTCAAATTAGAAAAAATAACAAAATTCTTTAATAAGCTTTTTTTCCTTTACCAATTCATATCTTTAAGTGCACTTTGACTTGCACATGGTTGTCGACAAAGTAAAACAACAACATTATGAGCTTTTGCTGGTATAAAACCAAGTAAAAATACATTTCGACATCCACAATTATAACATTCTAATTGTGTTTCACCTAATGGACCATCTTTATGTAATGTTACTTCTTTACATTTAGCTCGAACAAGATGATTAACAATATGACTAAAAAAAAAATAAATATTAGATAAAAGAAACTATTATCGACGTCAATGCATACGACAGGTCAGTGTTTCTTGAATAACTTTCGATAAGAACATCATAGAGACCTGTAGTTTTCGCTATTCAAGAAAAAAAAACTCGAAGTGATTGGAATTTGATTGGTTAGCAATTGACCAATCAGATGAGTGGTTGATGGAGATTTTTGCAAACGATATTCTGAAGTCTTCTCCCTTTCGATCTATCCAAGGTCAAGATTCCTGACTTGTTCCCGTTTTGACTTGTATCATGTGTTATTTCTATTTTATTTTAAGGTATTTTCTGATGAGACACTTCGAATTTTTTGAATTAACGAAAATAAAGTCGCGTAGAAAAGAAAAAATTTGACATAAGAAGATATCAATGTGCTAAGAGAGAAATAGTGTAATAATTCTATAAGAAGAGAACGTCTAATATTCACTTTAATAGTAGAGATCTATAAAGAACTCTGTGAAGTAACATATAGAAAATTTTGTTATCCCCGTCGCCGTCGATCAAATGGTCGACTACACTTCTAGTTGAGTTTAAGTTTAAAAAAAGAAAATCTGTAAATGAACTTTGAATCTTTCGTCAACTTTTAACATTATTTTCTATAAATTTAAGAATTTTCTTTATGAGTCTGAATATCATTATTTAAAAAGATTCATATATGCTGTTATATTTTATTCTATTTATTGTTTAGAAAAAGAATATGATAGTTGTAATCATCTACATTTATATAATAAACAAGAAAAAACCACAAAAATTTAATAAACTCAGTCGGATTAATGATTTAAATCAAATGAATTTTGACGATTTTCATTAACAAATTAAATGAAATATAAAACAATATAATTCATTAAATTTATTCAATAGAAGATCATTAAGTCTTCGAATCTTTTTTTAATAAATGAAATTTTTGTTATAGTTGTTGTTCTCTAATAATAACCAAACTATCATTAATTCCTACAAAAAAAAAAACAATCATATTTTAAATTTAATAAATCAAAACTATATTTTTTTTACTTTTTCCTTTTCTCTAACAATAATTCTAGATCAACTAATGTTAGTATATATTATTTTTCTAATCGTTAATATCACTTTCACCAATAATCTAAAATAAAAAAAGATCAATATTTTTCAAGAAAGAAAAAAAACTAAATGAAAATTACTGAGACTACATTGATTCTATTTATATTAACCCTTTCAATCCCGTCATTTTATTGCGTTCTGCACGAACATGGAAAAATATAGTTTAATCTCTCTCTCTTGCGTTCAGCTATCACAATCATATGTTTTCGAATTCTAGATTTATTATTCGTATCCATACGAAGTGGTTTTCATTTGAACATATCATATGATATTCGTCGTCTAAGAAGACGAAAGAACGCAAAAGATTTCTTTTTCGTTTTGTATGTCATCTCGTAGATGCCATGTGGGATTAAAAGGGTTAAATCAGAATCCAACACCATAATATGAATATATTTATATGTAAATATAATAATAAATATTTGACAACCTAATATATTAATTAATAAATAGAATATAATTGATTAAATAAATCATTTAGATTTATCTATAAAAAGAATAATGATATCATTAATTGATTTTGAAAATAGTTTTCTAATAAAGTTTGTTATTTTCTTTATAACTTTTTCAGTCGGAATGACTTGATCAGTTTCTTGTATATTTTCAATAACAGCATATTGACCATTATTATATTGACGAATTCTTACCTTTGGTATACGTTCACTTTTATTTAGTGGTGGTGGTGAAAATGTTGGAACGTGTTGTTCACTTTTATTTGGTG